TCTTTTTGTTGGAAGTAAGAGATCTTGAATTCGAGTTGTATAACATGTGAGTAAGGTGAGATAAGAGATAGGAGATAATTGCCTCTCATTGTGCAACAAAGATAAAAAAAAATATAAAATCATTAAATTAATTTACATAAAGTTGAGGGACTGGAACAACTAAATAAATTGAAGGAATTATAAATTAATTGATTTCTTAATTAAAAACAACATATTACTTCCAATAATATTTTTCTTTTATACAAATTCATGAGATTTGTTAGTAATCGAAAAAGACTACAAAGAAATCCCCATGAATTGAGCTATCTGTATAACAAAGCGAACTAAACCTATAGTACTAGTAATAGATGATTTCGCCCAAAACATATATAGATAATTAAGTATATATAGATCCATCAATTATCATAAATCATATAAGTAATTGCTATAGAGAAGTAAACAGACCTAGGCGGACTGTCCAATTGTGCATTCAATTTAAGCTTCTAAGAAATCTCATCTAATACTCCAACTTCTGTCCATAAAAAAAAAAAAAAAGAAGACAAGACAATAATAAAAACCTCTAGTTTCTGGGGTAGAAAGATTAGCCAAGGAGCTCACGTCAGCATGTTGTCGGCGGTGAACTATATGCTTAGCCTATCTAAAACTAGCCAACCCAAAGTCTGTGCTATTTTCTTGCTTAACCATAGGTGAAACACGATGAAAATAAATCAAGACAACTAAGGTGAGAAAGAGAAACTTTCATAAAGGAAAAGGAAACCCGCCCAAGGAAGAAAATCTCACTTTTAATCGTTCTCCCTAACTATTGAAGGAAATAAAAACCTCTCTGAAGGCAAGAAAAGAGCAAAAGAGAAAAAAGGGAATCGGGAGAAAGGGAGAGAGTTTTTCCTTTAATGTAAAGAATTAACTTGATTGGAAAAGAAGTTTGCATCTTATCATTTGAGATGTAAGGGTAGTGCCATAACTAATCTTTCATGAACTTCATAGAGATTACATCACAAATAGCAATTGTTGAGATTATATGCAGCCCTTTAAAGACGTCAATGAAAGTTTAGTAAAGAAAAGAAAAATATAAATTTAATAAGCTTCTACCAAGGGATGCAAAGGCTTTAATCTATTTAGACAGAATTGTTAGAGTGTGCCCTTGAGCCAACTTTGTTTGTAATTGTGATTACATTTTCATCTATATAAGGTATTTATTTATTGTATATTAATTGTTATTCTTCTACAGATATACATTAATATTGATAAAGTCTTTAGGACATTTGCTATATCAGAAGGAAATAACAACCATTGCTATTAATGAGAACCACATAATGCAATAGCAATATTCTTGTCCGTTAGTCATATATATCATTGAGATGAGACATTAATGATAAAAAGACTATCATGTGGGATGTTTTGTATGGTGGCAAAACTTCTTCTGACAAAATCATGTGTCACATATGAGTGTCTCAAAGGTTAGTGAATACACTAGACTGACCCACCTTGAGAGCCCTACATACATGTGTCATTAGTAGTTTCTTAGTTATGACGTGTGTAAGTGATCTTTTGACTTGAGATTGTCATTATGCTTTGTGAAGCTTGTGCATTATGATGTTGTTAAAAATAACTACTTTGAGTATTGTGAATAATACAGTTATTGGGTACATCACAAATTGCTTGAGAGTAATGGGCAATTCAAGATAAGATTCATCGTTCTCGAGTGTATAAGATAATATATCTCTAACCCTTTGATTGAGATGTGATTTACTGTAAAGTCCATGGCCATGGTTAGAATGAAGGTTCATTTAAGAAGTGCCTCTATCTTGGGAATCAAAGAAAGACATATTAAGATTTTAAGGATAATGACATATAACATGAATCTTGCTTGATTGAGATATCAATTATGAAGGGATTGATTTATGCAAGTGTATCGATCATAGGAAGGTTTGTCAAAGCTATTGACTTTTCTACCACTTTAGGTGGTAATGGTATGTCATTCGATACCGCTCTTGGTTTGTGAGTGTTTCCCATTGCCATCGTGATGAAAATTTAAAGGGTCACACACTTAGTGTGATATGAGGATTGGGATTTCTATAAATCTAAGTTTATGGATATGAATTAATTTATTTGAAAATATTAATTTCACAATAGAAATAAATTAATTGAGATCCATATTAAATTAGTAGAGAGAATAAATTTAATTTAATTTTATTTAATTAATTTAAGTTTGGATTTATTCAAAGCTAAGGACAAGAGAAATTTTAAGTGGCATTTAAGTTCTTGGAGGACTTTATGGTCGAATCCTAGCCCATTGGGCTAGAGCATGCATGACACATGGGCAAGGTAGACCAAGGTCTGCACTCTTAGTTCAACATGAACCAGGGTGTGCAGCAAAATAAGGGTGAAAGCTTAAATTCTACAAAATTCTAAGGTATTTTGGTAGTAGACACCCACATTTCCTCAATCTAGGGAGTTCATTACAATCTCCAAAGAAGAGCTTAAGAGTATCCAACGCCTAATGAGTCAACTTGAGGGTCATACCACTAACTCCACCTTCACAACTGCTTACTCAAGTACCTCTACATATGAGCCTACAATGCCCTTCTCACTTTCTTCAACCCATCCAAGATCATTGATTCAAGAGCTACTGATCATATGATTGGTATATCTCTCACTTCCATCACATAGTAGAAATCTATTTGGTAAGGAAATAGTCGAAGTTAATTGTTATGATCTACTTAGATTTGATCAGGCAAGAGATTGGAGATTTTGGAGAAAATCAAGTTAAGATCTTGTTTTTGGCAACTAGATTCAATTAAAGGTGGCCTACAAATATAAGCATTCATCACAAGTTCAACACTCTTGCCCTTTTCATTAACAACAACAAAAATGTCTTAACCCAGTACTTGTTTAAGAACAGCCTTGCATTAAGCATGCAATAAGCTTCAACACAATTCTAGCTACCATTTAGTTCATTTTTGTCAATTCATTGATAGCTCCCAAAGTGGCTATTCAACTTTTGTCAAAGCAAAAATGGTTTGCCTCCTTATGATTTTTCATTTTATGTTGCTTATGGTAAGATTGGTTCCAATAGTTGAATCTTATATGGTTAACCCACTTCGTCCAACGTGTCTCGCACTTATTTCAATAATTAATCTACATTATTGTTGAGCCATTAGATTTTAGATTTTGCTTTGCTGGCAAAACTAATGTTTCCATCCTCAGTTGTAACCACTCTTAGAAAGTTTTTGCCAAGCATTGATTAAGTAAAGATGTTAGTTTTGTTTCATTTCTGCCTATAACTATTGCTTTATGTTTCTGCCACCTCTATGTTTAAGTTCTTACATTTACTTTATTTTTCTATCACACAATTTGTGTTTCTACTATTAGGTCATGTTTTTACATTTATGTTGGTGCTTTAATCTCGCCTAGTTATTTTTGCCAATAGATATTTTCATATTTCTATTGCACTCTTTACATTTTCGACATCCTCAATTTATTTCTATTGAAACTTTTTGTTTCTATTTCTAGCTATTATTTAAGTTTTCTAGCATTTCTTAGTTTAATGTTCTTTCACTGTTTCAATTTTAAACCATTTATAATTCTCTCATGCACCTGCTTTAACTAACAAGCTAATTTCACTTTGTCTCTAGATATTGGAAGTTCTTGATGCTCATCCAGGATATATATAATAGTTTTGGAGCCTTCATGTAAGAATGCAACCCTGTTTTTACAACACTCTCTATTCATAGGCATTTCAATGGCGCATCTTTTGTTCAAATAGCATTTTATCATTAACTTTTAAACAAGTATCTATGCTTCGTATTATTGGTCCCAAATTTTCATCCTCTGTTACTCCTTTTTTTTGTTATATTTAGCTAATTTTATATTTAGGGTTTAAATTTTGGAGCTACCACTTAATAAAATTTAGGACATTGATGGGTGCATTTTTTGGTTTAATATACTATATAACTCACTCAGTAAAAAGTTTTTGTTTTATCTAAAATTAAATATAAACAAACTTTTTTTTTTGATGAAATATAAACAAACTTAAAATTACATTTACACATACAAGATGCATAACTGACTAAATCAACTATCTTATATTATTTTTTAACGGTTAAACCAAATAGGTGTTAAAAAGCATGTCGAATTGAAAGTGTACGAATTGTTGGCTTCAAACTTAATTTCTTTGAATGCAAGAGATTGATGCTTAAAATGCTCTTTAGATTACCCAGGATAAGATTAGTTTTAAAATACTTAAAAGTTAATTGAAAAACATTAAAATGAGAATCATCATTTTTTTCAAATAATATGAATTTAACATATAAAATCCATAGTTAATTTAGAACAAAAATTTAAATAAAAAAGACATTTTGTAAGATGAACATGATAGTTTTTTTACTACTCCATCCATATCAAAATAAAAGTTGTTTTTTAATTGAGAATTTGTATCAATTTTTTCTTTTATCAACCAAGCAAACCTTGAAAGAATTTTTATTAAATTAATTGTTGTTTTTTTTATATTTGAAAGGAGATTTTTTTTATATTAATCCTGTTATTATTCATTAATTTTAATTTACTATATTAACAAAAAAAAGTCTCTCTTTATTTATATTTTTTAAAAAGTAATATAAGTAAAAATATAAATTGTTATCAAAATTTCAATATACAAAAATAAAATAATAATAATAATAATAATAAAAGGCCTATTATTATGTGACAAAAGGAGTATTAATAATTTATTTTTTCATAAATAATTATTATTCCTTTTTTTGAATCTTAGGATATAATTATCGTGAGGTTTGGAATTTTCAAGTCAGAAGCAAAAACTGGAGATAGCAAAGCAAGGCCAAGCTTTCACCCCAAAAACACAAAAAAAAAAAAAAAAAAAAAAAAAAGAAAAAAAAAAGAAAAAAAATAAAACCAAAGCCATACCAAGCCAGACCAACAAGCTCATAATTAACTAATCTATCCATGGTCACGGAAACTAGATCTGTACCGAGGAAATTAAGAAATCAGTAGCAATAATATTATTTTTCCGACCGTTTCCGACCGGAGACCAAGAGCAAAGACAAAAATCCTCGAACGGAAACAAAAAATTGGAATCGATATGCCTTTTCTCTGTACTACAAATTGGAAAAGTACTACGTGCACGGTGGATGAACCAAAAACGGAGGAAAGAGTAAGGCAAAACCATCTTCTGTCAATCCACGCAAAACATTTTGGCACAATAAAAAGAGAACAATCTCTTTAAGCATCCTTTATCTGGTCCTAATATACTAACTTACAAACCTTAAAAAGCCAAAAACTTTACTTACATCAAGATTGCATAGCGCATGCTGTCATTAACCATCAGATGATTAATCTCCGATGTCTGTGAAAATTCCCCGGATACCCAAACTCCGTCAACGCCGTTAACACGCGGCTGAGAGAAGCAAGAGATGATGGAAAGTGGTGCCCGTACAACGTTATATATGGTGGAAAGGCCGTTCATACCGTGCCGTCTTCTGTCAACATATTCAGTACCGTTGACCCTGCCTCCATACATGTTCTCGTCGGCGACTCGTGAGCTTTTGCCGATGTTCTGGAGGTTCTTCCGGAGTACCACCAGCATCCGCCACATTTTTACCGGCCGGACTGGGGGGTCGAGAAGAGATTCGATTTAAGAGACTTTTTGTATTTGGGTTTTTTTGATAATGGCAAGTTGGCGATCTTGGTGTGGTGGTATTGATAGTGCTGGTGTTTATCAACAAAGGTCGTGGTGGGGTTCCTTTTTAAGGGCCTTTAATTTCAGTCATGTCTATTTTTAAAAAAAATTTTTTACTATAAATTGTGGGGTCAATCTAAGGCCAACATGCCGACAAAGTTGCCTAATTCTTTTTACATAATTAAGTTAATTTCCCATTAGGGATTTTGAGTCTGAAAAAAAAAAGACTAGATTTAGCACACTACCAAAGAAATTTGTTTTAGATACCTTTACAGTTCATCTGAGTACAATCTGAGAGCCGCGGAGAGAGAAAGTACAGCACCCTAAGATCTTATTCATTTTGAAAGCCCAATTATTTTGTTGTACATCCGTTGATATCATCACTGGAATCATAACCGTTTGATAATTTATTTGGCTTTGTCTGTCTCGATCATGATAGAATTTTGGTTGAGAGCTAGCTCTCTTCTGGGTCCCAGATTTGGACACTCAATATGGAGGAATCAATACTTGTAAATATATTGTACCCATGATAGAGACCCAGTGTCACGCACCTATCCCTAGGTTCCCTTTCAAATAATTAAGCTCTTGGTATGAATTCTTTTTTTGACCAAGGGAGAATTTCATAAGATGTGAAAGAAGAAATTTTAAATTTTTATTTTTGTAAAAGAGGAAGAGATTATAACTTTTTTTTTATATATATACTAGTTACATATTACATTTTTTGGATAAATCAAAATATTATAGCTACAAATTACAATTGACAATATATATAGTTTTATAAAAGCGTGATACATTCATCATTCCCACCAAAGTTATCTATTGAGGGTATTGGATAAATTTTAAATAGTAATTTGCTTTAAAAATGAATTTTTCTTTCATAAATTTAAAATATTGTTAAAAAATTTAAAAATTAAGTTTTAATATGACATTTAAGCAAGTTTTAAAAATGTTATACAATTAAAATTTCTTAAAATTTACTAAAAAAATTTAAAAATCAATTTTTAAATTTTTCTTCAACAAAATTTAAATTTATGGAAAAAATTATTTTTAAAACAAGTTTCATTTTGCAACTGATCCTTCGAGCCAACTTACCAGTTTAAGGTACATTCCCTCTTCTAATGGGCAGGTTTCAAACCTGTCCTAATAACTTGTAATATCCCAAAATTTTGGGGATATTTTAGCATTAAATAAGGGACTTATATGAGGGAAAATATTATTAAGGGGCTTAATAATCAAATTTTTAAAAGTTGAGGGACTTAAAAGAAAGAAAATTAGGATAAGGATCAAGGCTGATATTTCTCTCCTCAGCCACGTGTTTTGCTCTTCCTCATCTTCTTCTCCTTCTCGACTCTTCATCCCGACAGCCCCCTCCAAGCCCCTCTAGCCACCAACTCATTCTTTGAGAAAATTGATGACCAAACTTGGGATTTTCTCCTTCTTTTCTTGATAAGTAATGAGATTTGGGGTTTAGAATCTTCCCTCTCAACCCAGAAATCCCGGATCTGCTCTGCTTCTTCCTCCCTTGTCCGTCGGGTTCTGCTGGGTTTGAATCCTTCGGCTTTTTCTGGTAAGAAGCAGCCTTGAATTCATCCTTTCTCTCTCTTCATTTGGCTCGGGTTACTCTAATTTTGTTATTGGTTCTTGAATTTCTGGAGTTTGCCGTGAGTTTCCCCCTGGATCCCGTCGGCTTCCTCACCAGCCAAGCTCGGGTTCTGCTGGCTGGAATTCTGGTAAGTTGCCGGCTTTTCCAAGCTTAAAATTACCCATTTAAGTGTTGGGTTTTGTCCATTAAGTGCTGCCCTGTGCTTGCTCGAATTTTGCTAAAATGGGGGAGGAATTCCGGTAGCATTTAAATGTGTTTTGTGCTTGGTTTATGTAGGAATTTTGTTAATTGGGCTGTTGTGATGTTGTGTAGGGGTAATCCCGTGACTTAGCCATTGTTGGCCAAAGCCGTGGGTCTCCATTGCTTGTCCGGGAAATTGGAATGAATTTTGGTAGCTTTAAGCTATGTTTTTAAGTGTGGTTTAAGTAGAAAATTAGCTTGTTATGATTGTTGCGAGATTTTGGAGAGAAAATCCCGTGTGATTAGCTAGTGTTTTGGCCAATTTTGGAAGTTAGGCACTATTCACTGCGGATCACTGTTCACCGGTACTGTTTATAGGCACTGTTCACACACCGAGGGTCAATAAATAACAGGGATTTAAATGATTAGTTTGTGATATAACAACGAATTTGGAGATATTTTATCATGTGGAGATTGATAGGAATAGCGTCGGGATTGGGAGTGATTTTAATGATGATTTCAGTTTGAATTTGTGATAGTCGGTATTAATTCTGAGGTGTTTTGATTAGGTTCCCGATCATTCTGTCAGTTAGCACTGAGATTGAGTGCTCGATTTTATGCGAGTGAGGTAAGTAAATTATGGTAAAGCTCTTCGATTTTAAAACATGTTTTAAACTGTTTTTGAGATGGTGGCAAGGTTTAAAGTGATTTTAAATTGATTTTATCAGCATCTGAATGTGATTAAATTGAAATGGAAATTGTGATGGTTTTTACGAGAATTTCACTGTTTTCTGGAATTGAGCATGATTGAAATGAAAATGAGAATTTCATTGTTTTTCTGGAGTTGAGCATGCCTATTTGGAAATTGACTGAACTGTTTGATGAACTGAGAAATTTGTGAATATTGAGTTTCTGTTAAATCCATGCCCACATGGAAATTTTCCGATTTGTTCTGAAATTCGAGATTGATTGTGAAATTCGGGTTTTTCTGTAAACTCTGCATGGTTTTGTCTCGGATATAGTCATGATTATTAATTACTGTGCCCGCTAGTGGGAGGTTTATAAACACTAGCACATGTCGACATGTATTTCTGTAGAACCGATTCACCCTACCAATGGGGTTAAACATTGGTAATTACTGTCGCCTGCCAGTGGGAGTTGTAAACATTGGTACCATTACTAACGCCTGCCAGTGGGAGTTGTTAAACACTGGCACTTCTGTAACCTTGCCTATGGGGTTAAACATTGGCAACTACTGTGCCCGCCAGTGGGAGGTTTATAAACGCTGGCCATGACTTATAGATGAGACTACTGAACTGAGTTTTCTTCTGCATTGACGGTTTGTCATGAAACGTTTTGTTATTGAACTGAATCTGATTTTGCATTGACGAGTTGTCATTGAATGCTTTGCAATTAAACTGAATCTGATTTTGTCACTGAGCGTTTTGGTTATATTAAACTGTTTATCTGGCGTGCTTAAAAGTTTTACCCAAGGGCTATCCATATTTACTTACTGAGTTATCTCATAGTTTTCCCTTGTCCACCATTTCAGGAAGCGAAACCGAGGACGGGGAAACCGAGGGGAGTGACGAGTTAGAAGGCTAGCCATTCTAGTTGGATATAAGTTTTAGATTTTATCATCCTTTTGTAAGTGAGATTTTATTCTTGAGATTTATGATTTGAATAAGTTCCGAGCCTTGTGTACTTGTGGGACCCGTCTCACGAGTGTACGGCGTCTGTCGCGTCTCGAAATTGAGTTTTGGGGTGTGACATAACTTGTTCAAAAAAAAAAAAATAATAATAGTTTCAGTTTTAACTTTTGACAGACATCTTCTTTTCAGCTCGATTACATCATCAAGAGCAGCTAATACTCAATCCAATATTACTAAGAATGGTAGAATACAAAACTCATAGCACCTCAAACGACGAGTTCAACATTACATGATAATAGAGAAAACACATTTTATAATATGTCCAGCAACAAGTTTTAGTACGTAAAATTTTATATTTTACCTTATTATATTATGAAAAAATAAAATTTTTATTAAATTTAAATAAATACCTAATGAATGTTTAAAATCTTCAGTAAAAAATAAGTTCTATTTGCCATGTTGTTCAAAGTGTATTTTGACCTGTATATTTTTGTGCGAATATCATTACTCTTTTTAAAATTTTCAACAAATTTCCTTCAAATCTCATTAAAAGTCTAAATAAATACTCATTGATACTCTTAAAGAAAATTTAAGAAAATTAATTAAAGAGCTCGAGGGCCGACTAAAAAGGTCAATGTTTATAATTGATAATTTTATAGAAATTATTATTCTTTTAATTATTATTTCCTTTCAAATTTCGTTTCTAGAACTAGACATATAATTCTTAGAGTAAATAGTTATCATATCTCTATTAATTTAAGGGTAAAAAATTAAATTAAAGATTAACGTATTGCTTTGTCATGTAAATCTCAAAAAATTTCAATTTATATGAAAGTTGAATATTTTCACTGTTCAGTTTAGTTGATCTAATTTTGTGCGTTTAAAATTAGTTGTCTATTTTTCTTTTTCTTTTTTTAATGTTATTTAATGTATTTATTTCTATTTTATTTTTATTTTAAAATGATAATTGCAATAGAATACATATTTAAATAGTGTTTAATTAAAAATAAATATGAAATCTTATTAATTAATTATTATATCCTAAAAATTAGAGCAATTAAAGATGAACGAGAGAAGTATTTGTTTATAATGTATTTTTTTGAAATTTTTTTATATTTATTAATTAATAATTTCATTTATGAATAATATTGTTATATATATTAATTACGAAAAAAATTAGTACAGATTAACCACGCATAACGTTGCTTTAGAGGCTAGTAGTCCTTAAAATTTTATATTTACACATAAATTTACTATATTATAAAAATTATTAAATTCTTCAATGAATCTTGAATAAATACACATTGGTTCTTCTAAAATTTTTAATAAATCCACTTAAATAATCATAAAATCTCAAAGAAATACCCAATAAATTTTTTAAAGAAAACTTTTTGGGAAGGTTGAGGCTTAATTAACTCCAATTATTTTCAACTTCAAAAAAAAAAAAAAAAAACTTCTAATTCAAATTCAATTATATATATTATACTACTTCAATCATAATTCAAATTCAATTAGATTTCAAATAATCATATTAATCAAACTTCAATTATATATTCCACTTCAAGTAACTAAGAACCAATATGATATGTGATTTCACATATGCTTTCACAATGAGCCTATTTTTTATAGCATTGAATAAATAAATTATATTAATTAAAGCTCCAACATTGCATTATAATATCACTAACTATTTATCAAATATTTACATTATTTATGTTGAGATATAAAGATTAGTGGTGTCTTACAATCCAAGAAAATATTTAATGGGCATCTTAAAGAAAATTTATTAAGAACATTTTAGCTAGATTTAAAAGGCCAATAAAATTAAAATAATTAATAATTCTTGAAATATATAATTAAACTATCTCTATTAGTTAAACCCTAAACAAATTCTTGGAGTATATAATTCCTTTTCTAGATAATTATCATTTCAAATCATGCTACCTAAACTAATTAAAAGGGATTCCTATGAATTCTATTATTCTTAATTAATTATAAATATATTTTTGAATAATTTTATTAATATTTTATCTATTTTAATTGGGCTAGTAAAAGACATAAATACCTACAACCACGACATACCACTCTTAAACAAGACCTAAACAACTATCCCCGTCCATTTCATTTCACCTAACCCTAAACATATACTCCTATATAAACCATTTCAATTCTACTCTTAAATATCTACCTTATATCGTTTTAATCTTCAATTATCATTTTATTATCTTTTTCTTTTATCCCTTTACTTCATTAGTGTAATAATCCAATCAATGGTGAGTCTAACCTAAACAATTTCATGGAGTATATAATTCTTTTTTCAAACAATTATCATTGTAAACGATGCTGCCTTAAACCAATTAAAATTCGTTTTTTTTTTTTTTTTACAAATTCTATTAGTTTAAACCCTAAACTAGGGTATGCTCGGGACGGTTTGGAATCAGCTTAATTAAAGCTTGGGTTCAAACTCACCGACCTAGTCTTCAGCAAGAGATCGGGAAAGCCGGCACATTCATGAACATTGGGCTTGCGGCTTGGGATCAGTCCCGGTTTGGAGTTGGCTCGAGGCCGGTTCAAGCTTGTTGAAAAAAAAAAAAAGCATTGAACTATAATTTATTTTCTTAAAACAAGGTTTAATTATTTTCTGCATAATTAGAGGTTGATCACTTCTCACTTATTTTCTACATAGAAAAATTATTTTCTCTTATTTTATGGTTTTTTTCCCTTCAAAGAATTTTTTACGTAATTCTTTGTTTTTTCTCTTTCTTATCTCTGTTTATTGCGATTTTTCAAAAAAAATGCTTAATTATTTAAGTATTTAAATAAGTGTTAGTAAAAATCTCAAAATTATAGTACTTTAAGTTTAAGCTCAACTCAAAAATTCATAAAAATTTCAAATTTCTAAGATTAAAATATTACAAAAAAAGGGGGGCAATCTTGATCTTACTCGGGCTAGGAATAGTCCAAGATTGGGACCGCTCGTTTTCTAAACGGGCTGGTCTCCACTAAAAGAATACACAAAATTACCGATGAAATACCATGTCGGAAATCAAGAGGGAGTTTGTCGGTAAATCAATTTTCCAACTTATACTTTGTCGGTAATACACTTGTCAGTGTTAGCTTCCTCGGTAATAACTTCACCGATGTGAGATGGAGTTACGTCGGTAATTTGGTCCAAATTACCGACAAAACACATGTCTCAAAACAACTACCGGAACCGTACTGCAGGAGCTTCTCACGTAAGTCAAGGTGTCAATTACCGACGAGTTTCACGTCTCTAACTATAGACCTCGTTTACTGCGTTCCTGTGTTACCTCGTTTATTGCATCCAGTCAGCATGTCAGTAAGTTACCGACAAAGAGTTAATCGGTAAGTTGGCTTAGAAATTTGTAAAAGAATTGCCGATTTACAAGAATTAATTGTTATTTACCGACAAACTTCCAATCGGCAATTACCAAGGAAAAAAAAAATTTGCATTTTACCGACAAACAATTAATCGGTAAGTTTGTTTAGAAATTTGTAAAAGAATTGCCGATTTACAAGAATTAATTGTTATATAATTTACCGACAAAGCTTTAATCGGTAATGTGGTTTAGGAATTGAAAAAAAAGAAATTTACACCATTCCCCTTTTTGCAACCAGAAAAAAAAAAAGTATATAATTTAGTTAAAACCAAAAAACTGTTAATATGAAATAATAGTATTACCGGCCATCTAACACATAAGCAATAAAATATATATACATATTTAATAATGAATCTCTTTCAAACCAAAAAGATTATGGGATGATCAATCTTAATTTATAATAGTTAATATTATAAAAAATAAATATAAATATAAATTTTACAATAAAAAAATTATTAAATTTATTTACGAAAACTAAGAATTAAGACATAATTAAAACTAAGAATTAAGACATAATTAAAAAATAAGAATAATAAGACAAATTGAGGAAATATAATTAAATAGCATAATAAAAAAAAATTGAATATTACCTCAATTTTGATACTATTAGGCACCAGCAGCCATTTCTTGAAAAAATGATAAAATATAAATTAATATAATATTTAGGTATTATTTCAACCAAATAATAATAATCAAAATATAATTGAAATTAAATTATAAATTACATAAATAAAATTTATTTACCAATTACTATCTCCCAACAATGTTTCCTACAAAACAACAATATTAAAAAATATTAGTAGTGTGAATAAATTTATCAATAACTGAAATTTTTGTTTAATCAACAATTAATTAGTTAGAAAAAAAATGGAAGAGAAAAAGAGCAGAGATTAAGAAGATATAAATCAAAATTAATATAAGTATAATGTAATAATAAATATGATAAATTGAGCAGCAGATTAATGGAAGAAAAATCCGGCCAAGAGCTATCTAGAGACAAAGCTGGAGAGGAGAAGAAAAAGAAGAAGAAGAAGAATGAAGAAACAAATAAAATGAACGGGCGGTGCAAGTGTATATGTATATATAGAGCCTTTTAGCAATGGCTAGCTCGTCGGTATTCTTATTGCCGATGTGATGCACGTGGGTCAAGTGAAAATTTCAGCGGGAGTAACACATTCCAAAACATTTGTGATCCCGCTTGTTTCTTACCGACTAGTTTCTTGTCGGTAAATTGGAAATTTCGGCGCCACCCCAAAAATCCAAAATTTTGTTTCTTACCGACAAGAACCTTGTCGGTAAATTGAAAATGCCGGCGCCTGTGAGCTGCTTGTTTCTTCCTGCATCTGTTACCGACAAAGACTTGCTGGGAAGTTAAGAGCATGCTGGGGAAGTGAAATGCCTTCAATTTGAATGGCATATTGGCAAGTTAAAAGCAAAACTTGGTACAACAATGAAGATTGCCAACCCGCTCCTTGTGTGGGTAATTGTGGGTAATTACGAGTAATGCTAAATCCCCCTTAATTACCAGATTTATTTCTTAAATTTATTTAATTTTGTAGAGTTACCTAAATCTGTATAATATATATTTAATTTTGAATTTATTCAATAGGTTTTTTACAATTTGGTCATTTTAGTGTACAATAATTCTAAAAAAAATTTGACAGAGTTTCCCCATATATTTGATCATAACCAATTTTTTTAAA